ATCAGAAAAGACCTGAAGCCAGGGGAAAAGAAAGGGAAAGAAAGAAAAAAGAAAACAAAAACAAAAACAAAAACAGAACAAAACAAAAAAAAAAACAGAATATGATCAAATATGATCAGGCTGGTGCATAGATCAGTGCCACACACTAGATTTGGGTGTATTTTGGTCTGTTAGAAGAAAGTGCCTCCCAAAATTTTAAAGAAGAAAAACTTATATATGTACAAAAATAAGGGTTGATATGATGAAGGGATGGAATATGACTGTAAAGATGAAAATTATTAAAAATTTTATAAAAGGAATTGATAAGAAGTTGTTTGAAAAAAGAAAGAAGAGAATTAAAAAAAAAAAAAGAGAGAGAATGTGATCAGGCAGGAGAGTAGAACAAAACCATACACTAGAGATTTAGGGTATATTTTGATCTGTTAGAAGAAACTATCTCAAAATTTTAAAGAGAGAACAACTTATATATATATATATATATGCCAAAAATAAGGGTAACTACTATGAAGTGATAGAATATGACTCTAAAAATGAAAAATAAAAATGTTTTTTAAAAAAGGGATTGATAAGATGTTGGTTGAAAAAGAGAAAAATAAAAAATAAAAAAAAAAGTTAAAAAAAAATTAACTTTGAAAGACTAAAGAATCATGGTAAAAAAGCCATGGATTCTATGTGCAGTATTCCCCTAGCGCTGGAGTTCTGCTGTTCTCATTGATTGGTAAACTTGGTCTTGGCTGGCTGTTCTTGCTGACCTTCTGAGGGAGGGGCCTGTTGCCGTGGTTCCCAAATGTCTTTGCTGGAGGCGGAATTGCCCCGCCCTTGCCGGTCCGGGCTAAGTAATCTGCTCGGGTTTGCTCTCGGGAGCTTTTGTTCCCTGCAAGCTTTCGGTACAGCTTTGGAGGCCGAGAGTGAAAATGGCAGCCTCCCAATATCCTCCCTGGAGGAGCCGAGAACTCGGGGTCCCGCTCCTCAGTGCGCCCCCAGAGAAAAGCCGCCAGTCACTCCCGTCTCCCCGGTCTCCGGCCGCACTCCGTGTTCACCAGGCCTGTGACCGCGCGTTTCTATCTCTGGCACCCGACACTGTGTGGAGTCTCCAAACCCAGCAGATCCCTGCGGTGTGCTCCCATGCCGCTCCCCCCGGGGGAGAAAGGGGAGTCTCCCCGGATCTGCCACTTGCTGGGTCCCTGCTGGAGGAGCAGTGGCCTGACTGTGCCGCGGATCACAGTTTATGGCAACCCCGAGCTGAGAGCCCGAGGCTTGGCTCCGTCTCTGCAGCCAGCTTCCCCGCTCTGATACCTGGGAGCTCTGCCGCTCAGGCACCCCTGGTCTTTCTGTGACCCTGAGGGTCCTGAGACCACACTGTCCCACGAGGGTTCCACCGTCTGCTTAGCCACTGGAGCGACGTCCCTCAGTGGAGCCGACTTCTAAAAGTTCTGATTTTGTGCTCTGCGGCTCTATCACTTGCCAGAAGCAGCCAACAGAGGCCCCCTCCCCTGCCGTCTATCCTCCCGAATATCGCCTCGGATTCACTTCTCTGCACGTCCTACCTTCCAGAAAGTGGTCGCTTTTCTGTTCAGAGAGTTGTTGCTATTCTTTTCTTCGATCTCCTGTTGAGTTCGTAGGTGTTCAGAATGGTTTGATCCCTACCTAGCTGAATTCCTGGGACCAGACGAAATCCGGGTCTCCTACTCCTCTGCCATCTTGCTCCTATATACTGTATTCTTAACAATAAAGTAAGGTAGGGGCACCTGGCTGGCTCAGTCAGTAGAGTGTGTGACTCTTGGTCTCGGGGTTGTAAGTTCGAGCCCCATAATCTTAAAACAAAGTAATCTACAGAAAAGAAAATGTTGTTAAGAGAATCATAAAGATGAGAAAATACATTTGCAGTACTGTACTGTATTTATCAGAAAAAAAAAATTCATGTGTAAGTGGACCCATGCAGTTTAAACCCATGTTGTTCCAGGGTCAGCTGTACATGATGTGGTAGAAGATGACAAATGCTATGGAAACGGGGTGGGGCTAGATGTGAGATGCAGCTGTCATTTTAAATAGTAGTCAGTACAGGCCTCATTGAGAAGGTGGCATTTGAGCAAAGACTTGAAGGAGGTAAGGAAGTAAACCATGTGGGTCTAGGAGAAGAGCATTCTAGGTTGAGGGAATAGCCAAGGCCAAGGTTCTTTGGTGGAAGCCTGCCTGTCGTATTTGAAGAACAGGAACAGCAAGGAGGCCAGCGTGGGAGAGTAACAAGAGATGTCAGAGAAGTAATGTGGGATAAGGGAGGGTAGGATTGGGGGTCAGTAACATAGGACCTTCTAGGACGATGGTATCCAGTATGATATCTACATCTGGCCCACTACCAGTTTTGTAAATAAAGTTTTACTGGAACACAGCAGCACTGGTTCATTCACATATGGGCTATGACTGCTTTTGCATTGCAAAGGAAGAACTGAGTAGTTGTGATGGAGAACGTCTGGCCTGCAGAACCTAAAATATTTTGACCCTTTGCGGAGAAAGTGGTTTGCCCTCACTTTAAGGTCCATAGAGACTTTCACATTCTAAGTCTATAAAATCAGGAAAGGAATGAATGGTTTGTTTTTTTTTTTTACAAATGTTGAGTTTCAGGACACATTAAAGAGAGACTTACACATAATTAGATATATAAAAACTTGCCTCCTTTAAGAAGTTTGATAGTTCTAACGATTCAAGGAAGGTACGGAAAGGGGACAAAGAATTTCCAGCAGGTGATTGAGGTGAAGTTTGGTGTCCCCATCCTGCTTTCTGAGCACACCTTTGGCATGACCATTTGATTTTTAGCATCATTCATTCAGTGAGACACTGCATAAAGAAGCGTGAACAAGAAAGAGCTTACAGTTCAGTGAGGAATACAGCTAAGAAGGCGGACAGTTCCATTCCAGTGAACATTCTGTGACAGAAGAAGTACAGGGGGGTGGAGAGTACATGGAGGGGGCTGCTAGTCCAGAAGTGGGTCCGCCCTGGCAGGACCCCAGAGAGGTTCCTCGTGTCTGATGGAGCGTGGCTCGGGGGAAGGAAAGAGGAGAGGAGGAGGGAAGGCAGCAGGGTCAAGGCTGGCCTTTGAAGGACCAGATGAGCCATACAAGGAGTCAGGACTTTGTTTTGAGAGCTTGGGAGCTGTATATCAGCTCTAAGCAGAGTCTGATGTGATTGGATTTGCTTTTTACAAGTATCACTGTAAATGCTGTGAGGACAGTGGGTCACAGCACGAGTGAGTATGAGGGAGACTGACTATGAAGCTGTTAAGTTTTTCTGTGTTCATTAATGATTAGGTACTCAGTTAACTAAGTTTGGGTTAGGCATTTACCTGCTTAGGAATACACAATATGAAGTCCAAGTCCAATATGCTGTATATCTATAAAATGTACTTTTTATTTGAATGATCAAGTGTCATTTAAATAAATTTCTGAGACTCAGCAGCACCTGAAGGAAGTGTTTGTCACGCTTTCATAATCTGAAGAGTTGGTTCCAATTCTCTGTGTCTAGAGAGATAGAAGTGCTTGCTGAGAAAGAGGCTTTTAACTGTGGATCTGTATTTTCTACATGCCCATCTTGTCATTCGTCTTCCTACAACTCTTCTTTTGTCTGGGGGGATGTGGGGACATTAGGAGAGATAATGGTTCAAACTACTTCTTAGTTTATATTGGCACTGAAAATATAGGGACTAAGAATAGCCCTGAAACTTGAAGTGGTTTTCTTACAGTTACATGGCGACATTGGGCATTTTTCTTGCCTATATAATTCTTGGCTTGCTAAACTTAAAAAGCAAAGGTTCATTGTTCTTTTGCTTTGTTTATCATGTTGAAAGTAATAAATGGTTCAACAATGGGAGAATACAGAAAAGTAGAAGAAAAAAAATCATCCATAGAGCCCTCCATTTCGGAGACAGACTTGTTAAATTTTTTTTTTTTTAAGATTTTATTTACTTATTTGACAGAGAGAGAGAGCACAAGCAGGTAGAGTGGCAGGCAGAGGGAGAGGGAGAAGCAGACCCTCTGCTGAGCAAGGAGCCCAATGCGGGACTCGATCCCAGGACTCTGGGATCATGACCTGAGCTGAAGGCAGATGTTCAACCAACTGACCCACCCAGGTGCCCGTAGTTAAATTTTTGATAGAATTTTTCCTCCTTTTTTGTGACTTGTTTTGTTAGATATTTATGTTCATTTTGTATGTACTTTTTTGGATCAGAGTAATTTTATTTTGTGTTACATAGTTGTGATCATTCTTTATATGAAAGTATCCAGTTTTTAAAAATGTTAGATTTCAAAGCATCTTTGATGTTTGCAGAATAATATATCAAATGTCTATATACAGATACTTGATATAAATGTAAACAAAGAAGCAAATTTATCTATTCTCTTATTATTGGATATATTTTTTTTTATTTTAAAGATTTTTTTTTATTATTTATTTATTTGACAGAGAGAGAGAGACAGTGAGAGAGGGAACACAAGCAGGGGGAGTGGGAGAGGGAGAAGCAGGCTCCCTGCTGAGCAGGGAGCCCGATGCGGGACTCGATCCCAGGACCCTGGGATCATGACCTGAGCCGAAGGCAGACGCTTAACGACTGAGCCACTCAGGCGCCCCCTCTTATTATTGGATATTTAAGGTGTCTATTTTTTGCTATATAAGTACCAGTGGGGTAACACATGTATACATAGAGCCCATCCGATTGTTGAAAATTCTTTTATTAGGGAAGATTTGGCACTTCATGCCGTCTTTCAAGTTTATTGTTGGGTTTCTACACACCAGTTGTGCATCTGTAAGACCTGAACTTGACCGCATAATTAGGAAATAGGAGTTCTTGGGTAATGAATAAACTGCAACTGTAAGGTGGATTTGGGAACATTCTGGCCAGGTAGCACTTTGAGGACTTCTCTCTTTTCTGTCTTGGTAGACTGTGGCTGTGTGAGGCCATGAACCCGTGATGCCGTATTAACTCTTCTTACCGCATTATTCCCTCCCAGGGGTCTGAGGAGAAGACGGTGGTGTACATGGTTGGGAAGGCGGGCCGTCAGCACTGGCAGCACGTCTATACCGCCGTGACCAGGGGCCGCTGCAGAGTGTATGTCATCGCGGAAGAGTCTCACCTCCGGAGCGCAATTATGAGAAACGGTGTTCTCAGAAGAACTCGCTTAAAACATTTTTTGCAAAACAAGCTCTCCACGAGCTGTGCGTCTCCAGCAGACTTCGCCTCCCTGTCCAGGAGCTCTGGAGAGAGCAGAGGACTGAGCGCACAGGCCTCAGCATCCTCAGTCCCTCCAGTCACAACCACCAATGTGACAGCCGGTGTCCCTGGAAGCAGGGCCTCTGCGGCTGATGACAGGACATTCGCCTTTCCTGAAGGACGGAAATTACCTTCATCCGATGAAGTGGATCCAGAGGAAGATCCATCAGAACTTCGTGGGTCCAAAAGAGCCTGTGGCCTGAGTGGTGTGGAAAGTCCAAGCAAAATCCGGATGGTACGAGTGATGTTGTCGTGCGCTCCAGCTTTAAGTATTGCTCACTTCAGTGTGCTTATGCAGGGCTGTGGGTTTTTTAGTAGTGTGACCCTGTGCTGGAGCACGTAAAACCAAGTGTTTTCTCACCTCTGTCAGCTCAGTGCCTGGTTGATCCTAGCACTGTCTGTCACTTGGCTTGAGGCCAGCACTCCAGGCCACGGCAATCTATTGATGCGCGCGAGGGGCGTGCGGGGAGAAACTGGCCGTCCTGCACCTTCTTTCTGCAAATCTTCCTTATCCCTCTCCCCTCCCTTTGGTGGCCCACAGCCTTACTTTAATCCCCATTCTCCACTGGAGCGGCTGGTGAATTATCCATGATTTCCAAATGAAGTTCCAGTAGAAGCTTAAGGATTGCTTTATGTGCTGGCAAGTAGACTTGTTCCGGTGTCCTGAGGCTTTCAAGGCTGTGACAGAGAGGAGGGGCCACGGTGGGCACCCAGAGGAGAACGTGCTAAGGGAACCTGCCAATGCCAAGTGGAGTTCTAAAGGGAGAAGATACATAGCCTCTGACCCCCCATGGCGTGGAGACAGTGCAGCAGTTCTCTAAGAGGGTGCCCGGCGAACGCAGTGTGTGATGTCCCGGCGGATTAGGCAATCACAAGTATGGAGTGTTGTGGCTGGAGCAGAGCACGCAGGTGGAGGTCGAGCTGAGGACCCTGGAAGAGTCGGGAAGACACAGAGGCTCTTCCAAAGAGATTGGACATTCTCCTGAATGTGATGGAGAACACTAGACGCATTTTAAGAGCTCTGTGAATTGAAATTTATGAAGGTCACTTTGGAGTTTAGTAGATTATGTTTCGGAGGCCGTAGGGGATGAGCTCCTTGCAAAAAGATGATTTCAGTAGCTTGAACAGAATGATTGGGTTCTGAAGTCAGGTAGTAGTGGTGGGGTTGGAAAAGAGATGCTTAGGGGTAGGGGGTACATGGGATTTAATGGTCAGTTATATATGGGGGGGTCGGGCCTGAGCATGAGTCTTAGGCTTCTGGCTTGAGCATCCAGGGGGATCCAGGTACCATTAATCAGGATTGGGAAAAGAGGCCGAGAGACAGGTTTTGTAAGGAAAGTGATAGAAGTAGGCATAGTGAAAGAAAAGTTTTGTTTTTTGTTTTTTTGTTTTTTCCCTTCTTGGAAGTAGTAGGATCCCTGCTGATTCTACGCTTCATTCTGTGCTCCAGATCAGCTCTTTGATGTGGAATTTCCATCTCAGCAAAACATCTTTTTCTGAAATTGACTGTGTTACCTCTTACAAAGACCCTGAGATAATAAGGCTTTTGGCCTGGAACAGAAAATTCCAAAGAAAGTCGTTTCTTGCCTTTTATTTCTTTGCATCAGCATGGGATGGGCTACTTATGGTTCTGTGGTGGTACAAAGAGACAGTGACAGCGATATCCATCTTCGCTGCTGAGCTCGCCAAAGCTTCGAAGCTCTGGCCCAAACCAACACCGCAGAAGGTCTGTGGACACCATGAGTCCAGCGCTGGCTGATGTCACTATCCAAAGGCTCCAGTATGAGCAAAGTTCTCTAACTGAAGAGGATAAGCTTTCTCACAAGGCTTGCCAGAAGTATGTGACATCCAAGAAATCCCTGGAAATGAGGAAACTAAGAATTCAAAGCCTCCGGCCTGATAAATTAGAGATTTCTGTGTCTAGACTTTCTAGTGCGTTGAGATGCGTGATTTCTAAAAGCTCAGATTCAATGACCAGGGCTGTCCCCCTACCTTTCCTGCATATCCATATGGGTACATCAGAGCCAAATCAGCATTTAATTACTGCAGGTACTAATGACAGAGACCCACCTAGATGAAAGCTTTTGCTTTTCTATGGATTAATAGCTTTAGGTTTTGAAAAAAAGCTTTAAAAGAAAATGTCCTGATTTTGCTTTTGTTTTGTTTTGTTTTTGCCTCATGTCCCACAACCAAAAAGGGAAAAACAAAAATATTTTTTTAAGTAAAAGCATATGTATAAATATTCTAAAATTTATCATATAAAGCAGTGATTTCCAGAATTTTTTGAAAGAAAATGACATTTTGTCATTTAAAAAATCTGGGAAGGATGTAATCATAAAATCCCAAATAAAGATAGCTCTTGTATTAGGGTTCTCCAGTGAAACAGAACCAATAGGCTGTGTCTGTATCCCTATATATCTGTTTACCTACCTACCTACCTACCTATCATTTATCATCTATCATCTATCTATTTAGATTTATTTAAGGAATTGGCTCATACTTGTGGAGGCTGCCAAGTCCAAAATCTGCAGGGTGGGCCAGCAGACTGGAGACCCAAAGAGTTGATATTGCAGTTTGGGTCCAAAGGCAGGCAGAATTCTCTCTTTCTGGGAGGCGGTCAGTCTTTTTTTCTGTTAAGGCCTTCAGTTGATCAAATGAGGTCCACCTGCATTATGGAGGGTAATCTGCTTTATTGATCATCTACTGATTTAAATGTTTATCTCTTCTAAAAATACGTTCACAGAAACATCTAGAATATTTGACCAAATATCTGGGTACCATGGCTTAGCCTAGTTGACACATAAAGTTAACCATTACGGTGCTCTAAATTGAACAAGTTTAGCATTGTGAAAGATAAATTGAATTGTGCTTATTTTTCTCATTTCCCTGTGGTGGCAAAACTTTCTCATGACCGTACTGGTCCGTTGCCTTGTACTTGGGAATCACTAATAGTACCAAGGATCCTAGCCTTGCAGTGTTGCATCTTACCACACCTAAGGCTGGCATCATGGATGTGCACCCTGAACAGTCAGTCATACGGGGCTTTGTGCTTAAAACCACTCCATACTTGCTTTAATGTCCTGCACTTGGCACCTTGAAATTCTTACCTTTGAACAAAGGGCCCACATTTTAATCTTGAACTGGGCTGCCAAATTATGTAGTGGCCACACTGTTAGAAATTATATATATGTATACTCATTCAGCAAATGGTCACTTCTTCATGCCTGTCCCAGAGCTGGCTGCTGGGGATACCACAGTGACCAAAAGTGGACAGGATCCCACAAGGGGCTGGCAGCTGACTGCTTGGGTCTGTTCAACTCTTCCAAGGCGGGGAAGGGGGCATGTATTATGTCTTCCAAAGAAGCAGTCAGAGGGAGTAGAAGTACATGGGGTAAACTGACTGTGTTTTCACAAAACTAACTTTATTTTTGTTGTTGTCCTTACAGGTGGAAGAATCTTCCCCACAAGTGTCTTCCAGACTTCAGAATTTGAGACTAAATCGTTTAACCCCCAGGCAACTTTTCATATCCACAAATAATCAAGAAACTTAATTCTGTTTCCGATTGCTCAAAGTAATTACCTCTTTCATTTTTCCTACTCAACACAAAATGAACATCATAGCTTCAAACTATCAAGATATAAAACAGGATGTCTGTGACTGGAGTTTTATTTTAAGATGTTCATGTTAGCATATATTTTAAACTCATTTGATCGGAGAAAACCATAATGATTTCAACATCTGTCATCAGGAGGACTGGTAGCACTGGACATAAATGCAGGCAAAATTTGTTGTTGTTGTTTTTGTTTTTTTAAACTCTGTACTTTATTTTTTTTTATTTTTTATTTTTTATTTTTTAAAGATTTTATTTATTTATTTGACAGAGAGAGACATAGCGAGAGGGAACACAAGCAGGGGGAGTGGGAGAGGGAGAAGCAGGCTCCCCGCAGAGCAGGGAGCCCGATGTGGGATTCGATCCCAGGACCCCGGGACCATGACCTGAGCTGAAGGCAGTCGCTTAACCAACTGAGCCACCCAGGCGCCCCTAAACTCTGTACTTTAGAAAGTGTTTTATTTTTACACTAATGCCTTTATTGACTTCCATGATCACTGTAGGTGCTCTTTGCCAATGGTTTGAAGCCATGGTCCGGAGAAACTGTAGTTACGCCTCCTGTATTATTGACACACATTTCAGGATGTTGGGGCTTCTGCCAGTTGTTCAGCTTGCAACACTGCTGCTCGCTCCGTCACTGCTGGCCGGACCCACTTCACCCGCAACTGTTTTCCTGGAAATTACCTTCAGAGTTGGGAGTATACTTTTTTTTTCTTAATTGGAGATATAATTGACATATAACACTATGTAAGTTGAAGGTGTACTGCGTATTGATTTGATACATTTATATAGTCCCTGTGATTACTAGGTGAGCTTAATTGCATTAGCTAAAACCTCCATCATGTCACATAGTTGTCATTTCCTTTAGGAATACGTTGTTTTGAAGATACTCCACTTGGGAAAATTATTTTCTCTCAGAATGATTTTTATTTTATTTTATTTTTTTAGAGTTTTATTTCTTGTTAAATGGTAAAAGAAAAAGTTGAGAAAAAAATTTACCTGTTATTCCAATATTTGAAAAATAGCCTCACTGAGATATAATTTACATACAATTCACCCATTTCAGGTGTACAACTCAGTGGCTTTTAGTATATTCACAGAGTTGTGCTGGTACCACCACAACGGGTTTTTGAACATTTTTATCACCACCCCCTCCAAGAAACCCTGTACCTCTTGGCTCTGATCCTCTCATCCCCTCCAGCCCCAGGCAACTATGGATTTATTTTGTCCCCATTGATTTGCCTGTTCCAGACATTTCATATATAAATGGAATCATACACTGCGAGGTCCTTTGTGACCGACTTCTTTAACTTAGCAGAATGATTTCAGACTTTCTCTTGTGCTATGTATCAGTGCTTCACCTCTCTCTCTCTCTCTCTCTTTTTTTTAAAGATTAAAAAATGTTATGTACGAAGAGCTAGCATTGTTCCTTTTAGTGGGTAGATGTCTTGGAGAATCCATGCAAGGAATCTCACTCAGTCTAACTTGATGAAGCCTACATCCTTAGTGGAGTGATGGGAAGACTGGCAGCATCTCTGGAGGCTGTAGTTTTGGATCAGACCGTGTCGGGTTGAGCTGATGGGGCAGGAATCAGGAGCCCTGGCTGAATTCTTGCAGGTAGCTACAGCAGAGCTGCTGCTGACCTATCTTGCTCTCATTAGTGCAGTGTAGGCAAAAGACCTTCATCTCCTTTCATTACCAAATAATACTATATTATGTGGATATAGCACACTGAATTTCTCTGTTCATCAGCTGAAGGACATTTGGGTTGTTTCCACTTTTTGGCTCTTATAAAATGCTACTATGAACATCTGTATACAAGTAAAAGTTTTTCTGTGGACATATATTTTAATTTTTTTTTTTTAAAGATTTTATTTATTTATTTGCCAGAGAGAGAAAGCACAAGTTAGGCAGAGAGGCAGGCAGAGAGAGAGGGAGAAGCAGGCTCTCCACTGAGCAGGGAGCCAGACGTGGGGCCTAATCCCAGGACCCAGGGATCATGACCTGAGCTGAAGGCAGCCGCTTAACCGACTGAGCCACCCAGTCGCCCCTTAATTTCTTTTAATTATATACCTAGGAGTGGAATTGTTTGGTCATATGGTAACTCTATATAACCTTTTGAGGAACTGCCAGATTGTTTTCCAAAGCAGCTGCACCATTTTCTGTTTATACTTGGAATGTGAGGATTCCAGTTTCTCCACGTTTTCTCTAACACTTGTTATTATCTGACTTTTTTTATTACAGCCATTCAGTAGGTGTGAAGTGATATTTCCATATGGTTTTTTTTTTTTTTTTTTTTTTAAGATTTTATATTTTAAAAGTAATCTCTGCACCCAATGTGGGGCTCAAACTCACAGCCCCAAAATCAAGAATCACATTCTACTGACTGAGCCAGCTGGGCAGCCCTCCCTCAATCTGGTTTTGACTTGCATTTCCCTTATGGCTAATGATGTTAATTATCTTTTCATGTGCTTATTGGTCCTTTGTATGACCTCTTTAGAGAAATGTCTATTCAAATCTTTTACGTATTTTTAAATTGGGTTATTTTTATTTTTATTATTGAGATATAAGAGTTCTTTATACATACAGGTCCCTTATTAGAAATGTTACTTGCAAAAAAAATAAATTGCCATTCTGTGGATTTTATTTTCACTTTTTTTTTTTTGATGGTGCCCTTTTAAGCACAAATTTTCAGTTCTGATGATGTCCAATGTATCTCATTTTTGTTGTTGTTGCTTATGCTTTCATGTTACATCTAAGGAACTACTGCCTATCCAAAGTCATGAAGGTTTACTCCTATTCTTCTAAGAATTTAAATAGTTTTAGGTCTTACATTTAGCACTTTGATTCATTTGAGTTAATCTTTGTGTATGGTGAAGTAAGGGTCCAACTGCATTCTTATGAATGTGGATATCCAGTTGTTCCAGCTCCATTTCTTAAAGAAACTATTCTTTCCTCATTCACTTGTCTTGACACCCTTATCAAAAATCAGTTGATCATAGGGTGCCTGGGTGGCTCAGTCGTTAGGCGTCTGCCTTCAGCTCAGGTCATGATCCCGAGGTCCTGGGATCGAGTCCCACGTCGGGCTCCCTGCTCGGCGGGAGGCCTGCTTCTCCCTCTCCCACCTCCCCCGCTTGTGTTTCTGCTCTCACTATCTCTCTCTCTGTCAAATAAATAAATAAAATCTTAAAAAAAAAAATCAGTTGATCATAAATGGTGAAGGTTTATTTCTGGATTCTGAGTTCCTGATTCTATTCCATTAATGTTTACATCTAATGTTATGCCAGCACCATGCCCTTTGTTAGCTTTTTTTTTGAAATCAAGAAAAGTGAGCCCTCCAATTTGTCCTTCTCTTTCAAGATTTTTGGACTATTCTGAGTCCCTTGCACTTTCATATGAATTCTAGGATCAGCTTGTCCATTTCTGCAAAATAGCCAGTTGGGATTTTGAAGGGTAATTGTATTGAATCTATATATCTGGGGAGTATTACCATCTTAATATTAAGGCTTCTGATCCATGAACATGGGATGTCTTTCTATTTATGTCTTCTCTCATTTCTTTCAACGGTGCTTTGTTTTGCATTTTTAATTTTTATTTTTTTAAATTTTTAAAAAATATTTTATTTATTTATTTGAGACAGAGAGAGCACAGGCAGGGAGGAGGATCAGAGGGAGAGGGAGAGGCAGACTCCCCACTGAGCAGAGAGCCTGATGTGTGGTTCAACCCCAGGACCTTGAGATCATAACCTGAGCTGAAGGCAGATGCTTAACCTACTGAGCCACTCAGGTGCCCCTGTTTTGCATTTTTTAAATTTACTCCTGGGTATTTTATTTTTGATCCTAATGTCAATGGAATTTTTTTCTTATTTTTGGTTTGTTCATTGCTACTGGATAGAAATACAATTGATCTTGTATCTTTCAATCTTGCTAAACTCATTTATTAGTTTTAATAGGTTTTTAGTGGATTCCTTGGGATTTTCTATATATGAGGTTATATCATCTGCAAATATAGTTTTACTTCTTTCCAATCTGGATGGCTTTTATTTAATTTTCTTGTCTTAAGGCTCTGGCTAGAAGCTTTAATAAATTGTTAAATAGAAGTGGTGAGAATGGACACCCTTGCCTTGTTCTTGAAAATTTATAAGACCTGCAAGATAGTCTGCAAAAATGATAATGTTGGGACTACAGCATAGTTGTTTTTTTTTTTAAAGATAGCACACATTAAAATTTGCACATTTTAAATAGTTTATATAAATGTATTTCATAGAATACATATGATGTTCTCTGAGGGCAGATATTATTATGATCCTTGAGTTGAAATCTATCTTTGTTACCTAAAATAAATGTATAATTAGTCTGGAATATTTCTGTCTACAGACTGTTTTAGGACTTAAACATATCTTTTACATTTGGTCCTTACAGCAGTCCCAGAGTGCAGATATGACCTTCGGTACCACAGGTGGGGAAACTGACTCACAGTAACTAAATTTTATACCACCAGTGAGTACCACAGCTGGAATTCAAAACCAGATCTGATTTTAAAACCCATGTTCTTCCCATTCTTCCATTCTGCTTTTTAAGTTTATGGCAAAACCTTTCCTCTTTAGAAAATTCTATAACAAAAAGCATTGTGTAGGACTCATCTAGAATACTAAAATATAATCAAAGTACCAGAAAAACTGCATATCATAATTTTTGGCTTTTTAAAATCACTGTTTATTCCATTTGGTAGGGGTTTTTTTTTTCCATACAAATATTTGCAACAATTTTGAATTCCCCAAAACCATACATAGACGATAAATACCATGCTATTAAAGTATTAAATTTGTACAAAAATACTTTACAGCTTAATACTTGTTTGTTACAAATAAAAATACATATTTAAGTGACTCATGATCTTTTTTTTCTTTTAACATGATTCTGCTTTATACTCTCTTGCCCTGGCGGGTTGTGAAATATGATTGAAATAATATATTTCTCTGCACAAAAAGAAAGGTGAGCTTTTTCCTTAAACAAAGGACACAGTGTTCAAATGCTTTACCTAAGCAGTTGTTGGAATCCATTGACCAAAATGAAAATGTTTGGAAAATAATCATTTCAATATGGAGATTCTACAATTAATATACAGATCTATTTTTTTAAATATTCACCAAATAACAGTTATTAGCGTAACTATTCAAAAGATCTGAACAAATGAGAACAGTTGCTGACAAACATCTTAGAAGCAACTGTCACAGTTTATTGCTTTGAGGGATGGTAATAATTGGCAATGCATTTTGTGAAAAATGTATTTACAATTTCAGTAAAGTAGCATGGCTCAGAACAAAAGATAGTCCAGTGTCATCTTAAGGTACATGTGCTGTACACCCCTCTATAACCAGTTTTCAAAACATGGCAAGCAAGATGAGTTTGATTTGCCTATCATTAAGATAAACCTCATTTTAATAGACTTCATTCTCTCTTAAATTCTCAGTCTTGAATTTTAAAAATAACTAATTCTCAGTGTTACTAAGCACTCTAATTCATTATCAGAGATTTGCAGCTATTAAAAGTGTGTCCTTAAAAAAAAAAACAGGTCACAAGACATATCCTGTTTGTTAATTTGTTGCATAGGGAATAGCATACATCTTAGTTAAAATCATTCCTATATCGGGGCAAAACATTTACCACCACCTATTATGGTCTCCTACGTGCATCATCGCTGAAACGTTTTAAGAGAATAATGTTACACCTGGACCCCTCCCATGGCAGCAGTCCCAGCCACGTCTCAAACTCCCATTTCCCCTAGGAGAGCCAGCTTTGTGACAAGCCTTGTTGGTCAAGTTCTTAACGCTGACGACTTCATAGTAAGAAACTGATTTCAAAGTGAATTAAGGAAATTGTCATAGAGAATATTTTCAAACAGACATCTCTCTTTTTAAAAAGTGATTGGAAGATGCACTTGTAAAAAATTTCCTCTGATGTTAATTGGGGGGAAGGGGCGGCCTATATATTTTTCTTTTTCTCTACCATTGGGCCCGGCAGCGAATGGCCGGCCATATACCATAGCATCACCAAGAAAGAAACCTCTTCAGCCTGAAAGGGGAAGCGAACATGAGCCATGAGAGAGATTTAAAAGACCCCTGTGCTTGCAGTTAATGCCACGTGATATCTGTGCTTTAAATGCCACAGAAATCTTAAAGGGATTTTTTAGCACCATGTAGATATTGTCTTTTGTCCTGCTTTATAAAAAGCATTGCTATAATGTGTTAGTGGGTTCTCGTATCTCCAAATTACCACCATGACTAGGCTGTTGGAAAAAAGCACTGTTCTGTTCACTCCATTCTCCTCCTGGTAGAGTCTGTTCTATAGACTTCTGTGAAGCCAGTGGGTTTCTACTAATAACCAAGTCCAGCTTATTACCAGATTCTGCTATGAGGGGCACAACAAGGCAGCAGTCAAAGTCTCTCGTTCGGACATGATTAACCTGAAAAATCAAGAAGAGCCATTTTGAATTATTGTTTTAATTCTCAACACCCAGACTAACCCTTCTGGTGTAACAGGTGTCCTGAAGGTACCTAAACGAGCAGCCTTACACTGAGAGGTCTATCTCTTCTCTGACCAGGAGGTGGCCCTTGGCTGACTTACTCTTTGCTACTAAATCATAAAGTCCTTGAGAGCAGGGAACAGGGACACATCCCAACATCCCCATGCTGGGCAGACTGCCTCGCTCATGGCAGGTGCCCCAACAACTGAACGTCATTGCTAATTTCCAGATGAGGTAAGTGAGGCACAGAGTGGTGAAGAGATTTGCCTCAGAACCGAGTGGCCCAGCTAGGAAGTGATCCCAGGCAGTCTGGCTGACTCCGAAGCTGTGCTCTTGACCATGGTGTTGAACTACCTCTCAGAAGTGAGCCCATCCACCTCCTCAGCTTATTCATGTGCTCATCTTCGTTCATTTCTCCTTATTCTTCACCAACGAGGGTTTTTCACCCCTCTACAAGCTGCTTCCACTCTTTGCCTTTCATTCTCAATCTTCTCACATCTGGAACCTGACACATTGTACAGTTGACCCCAAATGTCCAATACAGGAATGGTGTCTCCAGGTCTCGTCCACTTTGGTCTTTAGCCCTGGCCGCACTTGACACCCACTCATCATCCTGAAAACTCTCCTTCCTCGGCTCTTTATGACACCACTTTGTTTTGATCCTCTTACCATTTTAATTCGCTTTCAGTTCTTTCCTGCCTTTATCTCTTCCTGTCCTTTAAATTTGTTTTTCTCAGGATTCTAGCCTTGGTTCTCTTTCTCACTATAAGCGCACCACAGGTGACTTTATCCAAACGCATGCCTTTCAGTGTCCTAAATCTCCTAAATCTGGCTCCAACATCTGAGCAATGGATCCAAACTGCCCTTGCCTCACAGACTGCTCTGCCAGGAAGCACTGAAGGAAAAAGGACTCAGGTCTGACACAGACATCTGGTCTCCTTCCCTGGCGTCTCCCTCTTTCCCATTTTACTCCAATCCACCTGTAGTATTATTCTATCGTCTCTCTAAATTACAAATGATGTCCTTATTCTGCTTAAGAAATTGATATACCTGAGAGTAAAGTCCAAGAGCTTTCTCATAGCATTCAAGGCCCTCGAGTCTGAATCCAGTCTACTTTTTATAGCCTCAACATCTGTGGAAGCAGGGACAGCACAGTCCCAATTTAGAGATGAGGAAGAGCCACATAAAGGTTAAGTAACCATAGTTATTAATTCAGCAAATATTAGAGTCTCTACGAAAAATGAAAGCATCCCATAGTGCCAAGACCAACTGTTCTGCCATAGTAAAAATGATCACCAGAATTTGTTTTAAAACTACTTAATTGATCAATGAGAACGTGCCTTGGTGAAGGCGTGTCACTTCATGTACAGCCTCATGCTCTGAACATCAGACTCATTCCAGCTAAACACACTCTCAAGACTGATGTCAACCCTCTCTTTTTCCTACAAAATGCTATTCCTAAAAACTGTATGTAAAATCAGGAATTGGCTGGGCTCACTGAAACTATTCCTGACCACGATCGCATTCCCTTCGCTAAACAAGGTTTGGCTTTTCGCTTTCAGACAATTGTGTGAGATACTGAGATATCAAGTACTGTATAAGGGGAAATGGGAGCATAAGGTGCCAGCACTGTTCTCAAGACGTTTATAATCTGTTGGGGAATATATACAGGGAACCAGACAATTTCAATAACTGGTAAATTCTACCCAAGGAAAAAGTTTCTATCCCATATAGGAGGGGCCCCTAATCTCGTCTTGAGGCAAAGAAAGATGGGTAGGCATTGATCGAGTAAGACATTGAGAAGTGAAATCAATCAAAATGTCACCTGCGGTCTTACCTGTAAGAGTCTATCATAGGGCTTTAAGCCACCGAGATCTCCTGGCCCAGCTGGGCGAATATTTTTAACATACACTCCTTTCTCCAGCAAGCCATCTGCTACACTGAACCCAAAGTCTTCCATATCAGAGCTCTTGTACAAGGTCACCTGGAAAGTGAGAGAATGTGAAGGACGCATTCAGCTTGGCTGCGGACTTTTGTGTGTGAAACTTCTTGTCCAACAATCTTTTCAAATTTATTTACTCAGTAACATAATAGATTTGTAATATATTAGGCAGCTCCCCACGCTCCTGCAGCTTTTTCCCCTTCTCTGAAAACAGCCTTGGAATTTGCAAAGTCCTGCCCAGAACTGAAAAGGAAGGAGAAGGCCAACTGCTAGAGAAGGGAGGCAGCCCGTTGCACCTGCTGGGTATCAGGACGAAGCCAAAGGCCTTTCCTTCCTGCCCACCGTGCCTGATGCTGCGCTGGGTACAGTGCTCAGCATATCATCCTCCTCTGAGCAACTGCCAGCCTGGAGTCCGTCATTTTATTTGCTATGGTATCCCGATCAGAATGTTAGTACTGACAGCAAACGGAGTTAAAAAACCTGAAAGTGTTCTTGTAACCAACACCTTGCTCTGGGGTCCAGCGTGAATAGCAACCATGCTTTGGTTTAGCAACTCAAGTCCTTCTTCACCCTTCTCGGCTACGGGCCTCACTGGTTCCCTCCGCTCCTACGGCCACCCGCCAGGCAAAGCTTCCCCCGAACCTCATGCCTCCAATCTGACCACCTGCAAGAGTTAGTCTGAGGTTCAGACATTCAGCCAATCATGCATACATTCACCAACTGTGTACCGAGTCCCGACCCTGTCCTGAGCATGGTTCTGGGTGCTGGGGAACAGCAGTAAGCGCGCAAGAAAAGGCTGCCTTCCAGAGGCAAACACATTTATGTGTAACATTTACTGAGCACCCGCTGTCCTGGCCCCGGCCAGGTGGCATACTCAGCACTTGGTCCTCGTTTAATGTTTTAAGCTGGTCACTGACAATCACTAAGTTTTGCCCGATGCCCTCTGTATAAGCTGATGCACTCTTCAAGCACTGATCTGGGCTGATATATTGTTTTACACTAATTGTTTTTAAAAAAGATTTTATTTTCACACAAATACATGAATATGTTCTTGTAAAATAGTAAAGACTTCAGGGCTACAGAGGGCAAAAGGTCAAGATAAAACAGGTCTATTTTTTATACCCAGTTATTTTATTTCAGAGAAAGAGGGAATATTGAAGGAACTACAAAAAAGTGGTGTTTGTGGTTTTTATTTTACTAGGCTGAGAGTTAAAATATCAAGCTGGCCGAGTCTGTACTATTCACCAGGCAGCCCTCATGGTTATTGCCATATGAAAGGTGAGGAAATTCAATTTTATAGAGGTTGGGTCATTCGCCCAAGGTCACAAAGGTAATGAATAGTGGAACCCTGTCTGTCTGATTCCAGACACTAAACACTTAACCATTATATACTACTGCCACTCAAAATGCCTTATTTCATAGGTTGTAAGATATGCTTTATTTTTTCATATTTCAAAATTTCTGAAATCAGGTGTGTTTCATAATCCATGGCACCCTAGATCCTATGAAGTAAGATATATAAATATTCTACCGCTACCTGCCTCTTTCCTACAAGTGCCCTAGAAGGGGCCAGAATTTTGTTGCAACTTTGCTTTTTAAGAGGAAAAAAAATGTGCCTTGCCAGTTAAAGTGAGGTCCTGACCAGAAGCATCACCATTTCTCAGGAACATGTTAAAATGTCGAATCTCAGACCTTGCCCAGACTGATTGATTTGGCACCTGCAGATCCCTGGGGATCCCCGTGCACGGTGCAATTGCTCTGTGTGGTCTTCTGCATACAAGGGGGCTATTACATGCTCTGAAAAGAATCGAGGGAATTAAAGTTTAATGGGATGATACTCTTTGCAGGCTCATTCTGTCATTGTGTGTATGTCAATGTGTGTGCGCGCGCGGGTGGGTCTGCATGTGCGTGTGTCGCTTAGTAAAACCCAGCCCCCCATCCCACATGCACCCTGATAATGCACGGGGAGAGAAGTAGGTTAAACTGCATGAGAGAGTTCCTTCCAGACCAAAACTCCTCAGGAGGTGAGGAGGAGTCTTTACTGGTGATCTAGGCTCAGATGGCCTTAGAGAGTAGATGGAAGATGCACCCAGCTCCCAAGCTCCTTGAGGTGGGGAAAGAATCTTTGTTTAGTTCACTGATATCCTGAACCCCTAAAACGGTGTCTGCCACATAGTAGGGTTAGTATTTGTCGAATAATGAAATGACTAGGTTTTTTTTTTTTTATTTGACAGAGCTGATTTTTTTTTTAAATTAGTTTCAGAGGTGGAGTTTAGTGATTCATCAGTTGCATACAACACCCAGTGCTCATTACATCACGTGCCCTCCTTAATGCCCGTCACCCAGTTACCCCATCCTCCTCCCCACCTCCCCTCCAGCAACTCTCAGTTTGTTTCCAGTCAGAACTGGCCAAGATGCGCTGTGAGTGAGAACTAAGAGAGATTTAATTCAAGCTGTGCCCCATCCTGTCGCCCCCCAGGGCTCTGCTGGGAATTTGCAAGGTGCAGCTGCAGGGTAGCGGGAGATGGCTGGGGCCCGGGGCACACGAAGCTCCAATGGCGCCACCGTGTGGCCATCAGAGGTGAGATAACGTGCGACGTCGCCGCCAGGCTGGCTCTGCCTAAGGGCTGAGGAAGCTCCATTCTTGGACAGGGAGGGAGGTGGGAAGGAGGGTCCTCCAGCAGGAAATACTGGACTTCTTGCCAATAGGTGATTAAAGCCTGTGGGTCTTGAGGGAGTAGATTAAAAAGCAACAGGATGTTACTGACTCTATCAAGTCTGTGGAGCAGATCATACAGACAGGGACATGAAAGCTCATGGAGGGTTAGAAACTTGTCCACAGAGAAGTTTCAAAGTGGTTCAAACCCAAGTGGTAGTGACTGTGGAGCTCAGATATTCCCACGGCAAACTTTCTCTTTACCTAGCAGGTGGTTGCTTAATGAGCACTCATTACAGAGAAGAATTTTGAGGTCCCTCTATAACTATGATTTGGCCTCAGGCCATAGGACAGGAAGAGTCCTGCCCCTTTCCTAAGGTGACACGGGTGGTTATTGGAGAGAGCTAATTAAAAAATTTTTTTTTAAATTTCCACTTTTGTTGAGATATAATTGACATACAGCTCTGTATAAGCTTAAGGTAGACTGCATCATGACTCGACATATATATATATATTGCAAAATCATTACCACAAGTTTAGTTAGGAGAAAGCTATTTTTTAATGAAAAAACTCAAACGTATTCAAGAGTAGAGAGGCTAGAACAAACAATGAATCCCCATATGCTCATCACCCAGATCCAACAACCATTAAGAGCTTGCCCCACAGGCTCTGTCCCCTTCTTTCTTCTCCTTTGGGGGATTATTTTAAGGCAAATGCCAGTCCTTAAGTAATTTACTCCTACATACTCCTTTAAGAGATTCAGGATGAACCTCTAAAAAAGAAAAATCACTCTTTTTACATACCTCAAAGTCATGAATTCATTCACAAATTCACCCTGATGCCCTGATATCCTCCAATACCTAGTCCATAACAAAATGTCCCTGATTGTCTCAAAAGTGGGTTTTAGAATTGGTTTTTTCAGATCAGGATCCCAACAAGGTTGACATGTGAGTGTGGGGTTTCTACTTGTCTTCTTGTCTAGAGCATGGCCCCATGCTCCTGCCTTATTGCGGGAACTGTATTTGTCCCGCACTGCGTTCGTCTAGTCCTTGCGTCCCTCTACATGGAAGTTACCCGGGGTCCTTGCCTGGAGTCAGGGTCAGCTTTGTGGGGAGGGGTGTGAATGGATCACAGGTGCCACAGGGTGCTTCCTACGACATCACATCACTCAGTGTCTAGTCGTCCCACTCTGGGTGGGTCCAGGGGAAGACAGCTTAATGCCTTCATTGTAAGGTTCCCCATCAACCTCTTATCTAAATGTTTTTGACCACTGATGACCACTGTCTGAATAATTTCATTAGGGGCTGCAGAGTGATAGTCTTTTTCTAATCCTATACTACCTTCCACATTTGTTAGCTAGAATACTTCCGTAAAGAAGAACTCTCCTTTCTTCAAACAGTGCTGTTTGGTTACTTTGATGTGCACGTTGATCTGCCAGAAAGGCAGAACGAAGGCTAATTCTTTCCCTTCGTTTTTAGTACAGGGTGTTAGTGCACTAGACACTTCTAATGGCGCCCCAAAGACATTTTTGTGGGGGGGGGATGACTTTTGTAAAGTAAAGTATCACTATGAACATGTGGGTTTACATACAGATGTTGTATTTCAAGTAATTCCATCATTATTCTTTTGGGTGCTCAAATTTTCTCATCTTTGGTCATGGGGGGATCTTTCATGTTAACCTATGTGTCCTTTTGATAGGACTCATTTGTTTTGACAGCCTCTTTGCTTTCTGGCTCAAGGTATCATGACTCATCATGAATATTTCCTGCTTCCAAGCTGGAAGCAGCCACTCCTCCAAGGTCCCTTCATTGGAGGAAACATTTTTGGTTATACTCTAGTCCCTTTCCTCCCATCCTCATGCTCCTTTCTCAAAGGAAGGAAGAGAGGAATGGGGAGGGAAGGCCAAATTGGAGAAGGAGGGAGGAGGAGGAGGAGGAGGAGGAGGAGGAGGAAGCAAAGAGCTAACGGGATTGGTGATAGCCTGCCATTTGGGGGCGCTCGTTACTAGTAGATGAAGTCTCTGTGCTCAAGGTCGCTCCTTCTGTGCCCCTCTTTGGCTTTGCGCCTTCTCTGTGGGATTTCTTGTCCTCCTGCCTCCTTTGCATCTTTGTTTCTAGTCGTGTTCTCACCATGTGACAAGGAGCCCACCTGGGGCGGGGATGTCACCGCTCCTGGAGGGTGGTGCCTCCTACTTCTCTCTGTTCCACTTGCAGCTAGGTATGGGGGAAGGTCCTAGAGACCCTGTGCTAATGGCTGGATGGGTAAGCCGACTGGCATCTGCTGCGCAGCCCCAGCCGCGCTCCTTCAGTGCTCCCGAACGTGAGGGTCGCAAGGCCTATGGCTTGCAATGGACATGAAGAAGCCTGCTTCTGTCTTCGATCTAAGA